AAAAAAAAAAAAAAAGAATCTGGGAAGATTCCAGATTGAAGAGGAGAAAGTTTAAGTCTGATTTCTTCGCTTTTTATACTATGTGGAAAGAAATCTTATCCGTTGATTTTTCGTTGACTTATTCGATTGATTGTATGACGACTTGGGACTATTTTACTCCCTAAGCCCAAATATGATGATTAATAGGCTCATAACTATTAATCACATGGACCAGGTTTTGGCCCAATTATATCACTTTTCATAAAAATATGTTAACTCCACACATCCTCCCTATATATTATTCCCGAATGCGCTGAGCCTACGTGGCTGTTTCTGGTGCTTCGGAATCCTACTTGGCAAAGAATCATGCTTCGTAATTAGGTTTGGACAAATAATATTGATATATTAATAATTAATAATTTAGGTTTGGACATTCCATAAATATTATTTAGCTAACTTAGGTATTTTAATATTATTGTACTAATATAACCCTTTATTTCTTTGTAATTTTACATACTGAGGCACTAAGTGACTAATATATCCCTGACTTTTGATTTGTTTCCTTCAATTAGCTATTGAATTATAAATGTATTTTAAAAGTCGATAACTTCTGTATTTCGTATCGGTTTTACATATATAATATATATCAAATTATTCATCTTTTGATGATCTTCGATTTGACATCCAAGTATATATGAAATAAATAAATTATATTTATATTTATAATAATAAAAAATAATAATATTTATTAAAATTCATTAGAAAAATAAAATTATTTCTCAATTGATATATTTATGATTAATGTAGTTATATGTTGTAAGTTAAAAAAATTATTATAATATAACACATGTAAGTTGCACAATTAAAAAGTATCATACTAAATATATAATAATATATATATTTTTATAAAAGGTATTTAAATTTTAAACTACTTTTTTCATAATTTTAGATTTTAAGAAAAAATTAGCAAGCACCCGTGTATTACACGCGCGTTGTACTATTTTGGAAGAAATGAATTTAACGTTGACCAGCTGAGGTCCAAATAAAGAAATTGTGTACTCGAGTCCCAAAGTGACTCAGTCTCCACCATTTTCATTCTGCCTCTTCAAATCTCACCGTTCCAATCGCCCCTTCTCAAAACTTCACCGCACCGCTTAGTTAATTTCACTGTTCGGGAAAAAAAAAAAGGAAGCTCGTCGGAAATCGAAATGGCCGACTGGGGCCCTGTGCTCATCGGAGTTGTACTCTTCATACTGCTACAGCCCGGGCTGCTGTTTCAGATACCGGGGAACAACCGCCAGCTGGAGTTCGGAACCATGAAGACCAACGGCAAGGCTATTGCCGTCCACACGCTCATCTTCTTCGCCCTCTACGCCGTCCTCATCCTCGCCGTCCACGTCCACATCTACACCGGCTGATCCGTTCTCCAGTTCACGGTGGAGGCTAGTGTGATCCTCTTTCAATAGAACAAGCTCTTCTGTGTTGTATTATGTGACAGTTTTTTCAGTAATGTTTTAGTTTCATCAATTTCTGGCATTTGCTTTTTATGAATTTCTTGAGGTTAAATAAAGGGCTGATTTAGGGTTTATTGTGAACTGGCATAGTAGCATTTAGCTGAGATAAAGTTGATTTCTTGAGCATGATGGAGATAATTAATTAAACTCTTTTGAATTGCATTTGTACTTCTTGATATTGAGTTTTTCTGGGGTTTTCTCCTTCTTAGCTCATCTGTGTATAGGAAAAAAGTTTTTGCTTTTCCCTTGTTGAACTATAAATTTCAAACTGATATTCTATTGCCTATCTCATACCGATTCTTGAACTAAATTCCATACTGATAGAGAATAGTCTTGAATTGTATGATAACCATCTTGTTTCTTCCAATTTCGATCAAGCCCCGAGTGAAGAAACTTGAATAAGTATGAAGCAATAACTGCATATCTATGTTGACATGCCAAAAATCTAACTAGAAATACATAACAAAAGCTAGATGAAGAGAAGAAGAAGAAGAAGAAGAAGAAGAAGAAGAAGAAAAGAAAAACCTTAGGAACAACTTACACTCTTGAAATTGGTTACAAAAAGAAAAAACAAAGTCTAGCTAGCATGTATATGAATCCCAATTGCCACAATCAAGATGGTATAGATACAAAAGTACAAAATGGCATGGACGAGGATCGAGATCCCACTCGTGTACATGTTCCCGAACTCGATGACCCTCGTCCTTGCTGGGAGTTGAAAGAGTAAACCAGGCGAGAGGAGAATGAACATAGCCACGGCCACCACCACAGGCCCCCAATCGGGTCCCGCGGTCTGCATATTGCTCTGTTTGGTAAGTGTGTCTTGTTTTAGTACTTGGAAGTGATTCTTGTGATAAAATTTGTCTTACTCTGTGGTGATTGGGATTATGTAGGGATGCATAGTGGTGATGTTCCTTAGTGAAGAAGGTGCGAGGAGGATGCTAAACTTGAAGGGGTAAGTGAGAGAGTATGATTTGAAGGGAGGGAAAGTATATTGGTCATTGTGAATGGGATTGCTTTTGTGGGAGGTTGACATGAAGCAAACTTTTGTGGGCATAAGCTTCCAAATAATTGAATGTGTGAATGAAGCTTTTTTGAAATTGCTTTAGGCCTAGAGATTGATCAAGGTGGGGAGATTGCAAAAGGGAGTATTGTTTATTTGTTTTACTAAAAGAAATCGGGTAAAGAAAAAGAGTTTGAGCGTGTAAAAAAAGAGGCATGGAAGTTTCAAGACTGGTGTGGAGGTTGTTTGAATGCTAATGACTTGTTTGGTGTAAAAAAGGAGGCATGGAAGTTTGGTGTTTCTTTATGAGCTGGTAAAGGTGTGTGCACACGCAAATCGACGGTAATCTCGGTGCTAGTTATATTATGTGGCATTTTTTGCATAAGTGGAGCTGTATCATATACGAGGGACTAAGTATGTAACCGGGGTGGGTCGGGCCGGGTCTTGGCAAATCCAGACTCGACCCGCGACAAATCCAAAGCCGACCCGCATATAATTTACCGTACATGAACCCGACATGTTATCCAGTTAGTGAACTTCGAGTTTCAGGTTAGGTTTTTACTCAATGGGTTAATCGGATCTTTGTTGGGTAAATAGGTAACCCGAATTCTTAATTTGAGTTTTACCCGGTCCAAACTCGGCCCAACTCACTTCATGTGTTACAAAATAAATAAAATAATTTCACAATTAAATATAATGTAACTAAATTTATTAATTAAGTTTGACAATAAGATGGTTATAAAAAAATTCTATATTATTTTTAGAATAAGCATTAAGATATACTTATTTATTTTTTATAATCTAGTTAATAATATAACATTTAAATATTAAGTATTTAAAATTTTTATTGCAAAACTAAAAGAAAAAAATTGGAAAAAATTATAATTATAATAAATATA